AAAGGAATATTAGTTTCTGACAATTATTTTAAATTTTATTTTAAATTTATTTCAATAACAGTAAATAATGAAAAAAAAATTTCATTTTAAATTTTTTATTAAATTTCGGTACAATACTCCCATAACTAAATAATATTGATGATATTGTTTTTTAATTCAAAAACTTGATTTTTCAATCAACTCATTTAAAAAAAAGTAATTTTTTATTAATCGCATCCTTCGTTACATTTCTACTTGTTTTTATGGTTGTCTTTACCATAACTGACAGGATTTCGGCTGATGTTGTTTCTTCATCCTTTCGATTGATCTTGTATAATCATTCAACCATATCGCTATTAGAAAAGAGAGAGAGAGAGAAAGAGCAGGCGAGATATATGATTGGTCACATCTTTTTTGTTTTTTGTTGGGGAGAAATATTGCGTTATAGAAAATCAATTGATTATTGTGCAAATAAACTTGTTAAAATTATGGTATTGAACTTTTTAAAAAAAACGATTACTGGACACAAGTGAGTGGAACCGAAGGATTCCTAGCTGCTGTCAAACAACTGGGATCGGATTATCGCGAATTGGATGTGGGTGGTAGTAATGGTTATACAAAATCAGACGGCATATATGAGGTCGACTGTCAGAACGAACATAAATTCCAAAGAAGGATACTTATGAAACTCGAAAGTGGCTCTATACAACATGACAAGAAAATCGGAGGAAGGTCCGCACAACATTCTTCAATACACAAGTTCATGATCTACTAGAAAATTTAAGTCGAACATCTAATGAGGATGAACAAGACAACCATGCACATGTAGTGACAGTAAACCTTTTTTCGTCTGTTTTGTATTTGTAATTTATCTAAAATAGTTGCGAGAAAGAAAAGCTTTAATCAACGAGCAATGTAATTATCATTTATGCGCATATTTTTGTAAATCAGTAACATAACGTAAAAAGTTGACGACATAAGATATCATAATATTTACAATCTAAGAAAAGTAGAAGTGAATGTGATTCTTTTTGTGTATATTTAGATGCCTAACAATGCTTCTTTATTAACAATTCCTTCAACTGTACCAAAAGCCATGCGATCAAAAGATATTTTAGCTCCTCGTTATGTACATCACTTTGCAATGAATTATGAGCAATGGCGTGCTTTCTACAACTATAAAATCGGTGATGTGCATGATAATTGGGGAAATCAACTTGTTCCACATTTTATTCGGCTCGGCATGACTTGCGCTATTGTGTTTTGATACCACCATGTTTGAGGAAAAAATTCACGAAAAAAGAATTGCAATTTGTTCAGTGGAAGAGGCCATTGTAAAGGTGAAAAATGTCCTATAGTAGTTACGGATTCAGAATTTAATTCTACATCTAACCCAAGTAATTAGAAAAGTAACCCAGGTCGAGGAGGGAATATAAGCAGGGATTACTCGAATCCTCTGCTAACTTTCCCTACGTGAAGAAATGAGGTGCACATTACACTAAATAATGTTCATTTAGGGATAGAAAAGTTTGGATGCGAAATGTTTTTCAGAGGAGGTGAAATTGGGTTTTTAAGGTGCTAGTTTTAATCACGGAGAAAACTACATCGGACCTGTGCATATGCAATTGATCAGAGAGGGGGCCAGTTTTGTCTCTTATTGACCCCTGTGAGCGCCGTTTAAGAGACGCCCCAACTGCTGCAACGGTTTGACTAACTTCTACGACTTAACTTAAGTATATTTAAGTTTACTTTATTTTATTTTCGGTTTAAGATTTTCTTCTCTTTTTTTTTATTAAAAAAAGGAAAACTTAAACTAGATGTTAACTTAAAATAAGATTTTAAAATTATTCACAGTTTTCGAAAGAAAAGGTTACAAGTCAATTTTTGTAGCCTAGAAACAATATATTATATATTATATTCAATTCTCAAACATTGTCAATAATATTAATTACCGGTAGGAAATTAATATATTCGACGAAAACCGGATTTCCTAAGATAGTTGTGTTGCGGAGATATTCAATTTTTAGAAAACGCCCTAAAAACAAATATTTCGGCATCTTGACAAATTGTCAGCTTAAACTACATGTAACTTCGTAATGACATATGACCTAGGCTAGTCAATTTTATCATAAATACTAAAGAACTTTCTTAACATAATAAATCTATCTATAATTAGAGAGCAAACACAACATGCGTTTTCGAGATAAGTGATGAGGAGATTTCTCTCCTCGCAACGTTGTACCCTCTCCTTATCATTGATCTCGACAACGCATGTAGTGTTTGCTCTCAAATTATAGCAATATTTATTATATTAAGAAAGTTCTTTATTGTACATTTGGGCTTTTGAAATACGGCTGAGTGAATTAAACATAAAAACACCTCTTCGACGAGTTTTGAGCAACCAATAGCAAAAAAGACTGTAAAAGTAAGAAGCAAGCGAAAAACACAGGAAGACGTCAGCAATCATAAGATTCTTATAAGATTTCACAAATTTTTTTATCTAGGGATGAGGATTTTGTTGTATTAGAGATTCCATATTCTCTTCTTGTGCATATTTAACCAGCGTTTTACATTGCTTTAATGAAAGAAGCACTTCTTTTGCCGTTTCGGGAATCTGAAAGAAATACTTTCTACTATTTTCTGTTTTCTTGTCTCTTTTTAGTCCGGTATGAATAAAGACATCAAAGGACGAGGAGGAGCAACACATCATCAATCCAGCAATGTACGCTGGCTTCCAATGTTCGATCTTCTTAAGTCTGTTATGAAATCATTCAAATTAACAAAAAGACTATTGGCTGGTAAAAGAAACAAAAACATACAGCTGATTTAGATGAAAAGCGTGTCAAACAGTTAATCTTGTTAATGAAACCATTCAGACATGTTATTAAATTGATTCAAAGTGGAAATTCTCCATCTCTGCACATGGTTTTGTTGTATACTATTACGCCGAAAGATGCTCTTAGTTCTTATCAGTCTTTATTGGAATATAGCAGGATTCATGGAAAAAATAAAGGAGGGAAAAAAAACAGACAAAAGAGATAATTACGATTCTAGACGCTGAACTCGATGGTGAATAAGAGTCTCACTAAGAGATCTCTTAACTTTCTTAAAATAGAACGCTTTTTCGTGTTTCTTTTGAGGTATCGAATGGTTTCATGAACGTGTATTGACATTGTTAGATGATATGTTTTCATTGGATGCTTGACATTATACTGCAACACTGCTACATCGAAAATATAGATCAATGAGAGGTTGTTCGGATGATGAACGTTCACAATGTTTTAAATATGTTTCAATAACAAGTAAAGTTAGCCGATTTCAATCAGGAGATTTGAAGATCAACTACAAGCAGGAGGAGAATCGGGCAATAAAAATGACGAGTATTTATATGATGCCAAGAAAGTGGATGAATTAGATCGATGTCGTCTTGTGGAATCTGACAAAACAAAATTTACAAAAGATCCATTGCCATTTGGGAAATCCCATGAAGAAAAATTTCCTTTCTGTCTCGTTATGCTCGATCCGTTCATTCATTCCAGCAACGTCTGCATGGATACGAAAACAACGAAGAACAAGTCTGAAGCCTGAACAATTGGATAATATCTTGTAAATAAGATCAATTGAAAAAACAAATAATTACCCGTGAAAAACTGCTGTTTCTCTCTCCACCTTCATGTTGTTTTTGTTATGAAAAAACAGTGTTTGTGTCTTGATGAAAATAATAAAATTAAGTCATTGTGATTTGAAATGAAGCAAGATGTGTGTTTTCTTAACTTTGTCGAGAAAAAGATAAACATCTGGTATTTGTCGCGCAGTACAGCGCACCTGCCCTGCCGAAAGGAGAGGAAGAAATTCGTTTTATGAGCCATTATTTAGCCAGGAAACGACACGAATACTGTTCATCGCGATGAACAGTATTCGTGTCGTTTCCCAAGAAATGAATATGTCGAAATCGGTTGTTCATCGTACAATGCGTCAGATATTGGGATACAAGCCGTACAAGATGCATTTAACACAACAAATCTACGACGAAGATAAAGATTTACGTGTCGAAATGGCTAAATTCTCTTACCCATTCTTGATAAACAAGACTATGATGGTCTGATTTTCTTTTCGGACGAAGCAGCTTTTCATGTTTCTGAAGTTGGCCATAAACATAACTGTCGAATATGGTCCGAAAGTAATCCATATGCTACTTTTGAAGTTGCATTGAAATCACCAAAAGTTATGGTTTGGTGCGCGATGTCAAGCAAGCGGATCATTGGTCCGCTCTTTTTTGATGAGAAGACGGTGAATCAAGATAATTACCTTGACATGCTTGAAGGATATTTCTATCCGATCTTACAACAGAAACGGATGACAAAAGAGGTAATTTTCCAACAAGATGGAACCCCGGTACATTTCTCAAAGGCAGTTCGTTCGTGGCTCAACAACAAGTTCCCTGGTCGATGGATTGGAAGAGGTTATGTTCTGAAAAACAACTTGAAAACTCCTACTTTTTTTCTGTTTTATGACGATGTTGAGTGGACGAAAACGAAATCTATTGCATCTTATTCGACTCATATGAAAAAGAAGGGCTTAACACACGAAAACTATTTTAAAACAACACATACATTTCTGGCACATATTCAAAAACACACCTGTTTTTCATTAAGTAATAAAATAACGATTGAAGACATTAAATCCACAATAAATATTATTTCAGCTTCTCATATGATAAGATTTACAAAGAACATATTCACGATGTTCGCCATTCCCATCCGTCCCCTTAATAGTGGCTCCAGGGTCTATCTTGTGCCTTACCGCCTCTTATTCACCAAGCTGTTGTGAAACTTTCAAAGCGCGGCCAATTAACAAGTAGACATTTTTGTCAATATAAAGTATACAACAAACCCTCCGAAATCTCTATTGCCTATAACTAGAGAAAATTTTATTTTAAAAATTTCAATTTTTTCTATTTTTCAAAATTATCGATTTAGTACGGTTCATATGTCGGAGACGAAGCGGGGTATTTTTTTTAGCTATATAATCATTCGTTCCAGACCATCAATAACGTTTTGATTATTGGAACCACACGCACTTTTATTTTTCTCCTCACGAATTAGATGGTTAACACATTCAATTAAATCATCATTATAAGGTGTTATAGCGTTTTTGTGCAAAAATAACGATAACTCCACGCATGTTTGGGTTATGTATTGTTGCTCATTCTTTAAATCCATTATTCGTTTTTCTAGTGCATGTTTTGCCTGCAGAATAGCAGCTGCTGCTTCCTTTTTTGTGATGATTTGTGTTTGAATGTTAGGGTCGGTTACTTCGGTTTCAGTTTGTTTTGTTTCATATGTAATATGCATATGTCTATCATATGAACAATTATTTTTTCACTTCTGCATTAAGAAACTATTGACTCATCTACATCGAAGCGCTAAAGACAATATTATATTTTGTTTCACAAATGCTAGTTCAACGTTCTATTCGCCTGGTAATACGGCATCATTATTAAAAATATTATTAACCGAGTTGAAACAACAGACAAATGCTGATATTCCATTCAGTAAGCAAAACACATTTTGTTTTGATAATGGAACGTTTCGCTTTGTCGCCGCAATAAAACAGGGAATAACATTTGACGAGAATCAGAAGGACGATTTTAGAAAAAGTTAGGATACATCGGTTGAATAATCTGGAAATTTAGTACTACGCATAAATGACTGTATTCTACATAAAGTCAAAGGTACTGTTTCTTTGAACGAAGCAAGACGACTTATTATCGAATTAGCTAAGCCAATAGCCCATATCTCGCAAAATATTCAATTGAACATTAAAGTTGCAGAAGATAAGAGAAGTGAATTGAACAACACAGCAATATCAATACAAGATTTGAATAAAAAGCTGAAGATCCCCGCTGTAGATCTCGAAAGTACGCCACTGTATGTACTATTTTATGTTGTGTTAAATATATTAAATTTGGTACTATTGACAAAATTGATTACGTACAACACTGTCATGCGCACTGTTATCTGGAGAGTGTTACAAAAAATGTGGCAAATAATGCGGCTTTGCGAGAATGTTCTGCAATGAATTCATCTGGTATATGTAAGGGATGCAATTATGTTTAATCTTGATTCATTCGGCTTGAGTAGCATGCATATACCGTTTATGTAGCCGTAATGGCTTATGTATGATAGTATGTTATCGAAATTTTTTGCGTCTTCATTTACATCTCGAGTATCGCCAACGCCAACTGGATATCTAGTAACGCCGTCCGAGAACAAAGTTAATTACGTCTTGGAATTATCGTAGTCTTTTGTAGTGCCTTACTATCCAAACTGAAGCGATAACCTAAACGGATGCCTCTAAGGTGTATCGATAATTTTTAACTTTTTATCACCAATTGGGAACACGTAACAGCGACAGCCTTGTGTTGCTGATTGCCCAGGTTTATCACATTCATTCGGATCATCTCCAATTTTCACTTTTTTCTCTTCAAACGTTTCCGGGTCAGTCATTATAAATGATGTTGGTATAACTGATATCATGTCTCCAGTTAACGCCTCGTCTAGTTTTTGCTATGTCAAATAATTTACAAAGGCGTTTATACATGTCGACTTTCCAACGCCAGTTTCGCCTAACAGCAAAATGACAATATCATTGGATGACTGTTTCAACCTTGCCAGCATCTGACTTCGAAAAGGAAAAACTACTTTGTACTTAAGAGCCATTGCACGTAAGCCACGACCTATTACAGCGGAGTGGCCATCAATCGATGTTCCCAAAACTTTTCCAAAGTAGGGGGCTTTTGTAGACCAAACATTTTAAGGAATTTTGGTAAAAGGCGCAAATCAAAAAGTTGTATCATTGCTGAGATACTGATATTTTACGAAAAGCCCTGAAAAACGT